TACATATGTGTGTATCGAATATCTGTGTTTAAAATAGGTGAATTACCTGATTATTAATAAGGTGATCTTTAATATGTTTGCTTTCACTTCATATTTCACATATAAGTACATATGATATGAATATCAATGACAAAAGTTGTAAAACTGTTAAGGCTTTTATAAATAAACATAAAAGCAATATAGAGACACCCCCAAATAATTCTAATTTCCCATTTCCTTTATACCCTTAAGTGTGGATAGTTAGTATGGTATTTAAAATATAACATTAGCATGTCATATAGAAATTAAAATTTTAATTTTGTACTTAAATTGTATAATCATTTGTCTATAACTTTTCTGTCTTGTATAGTTATACCTGGAGGAGAAGAGACTTTTACTAGGCATATTTATCTATTACAATATTGGGTAATAAAAATAGTGTTAGAACTTATTGATAAGAAAACACAGTAACTAATTTGACAAGGGAAAAACAGTGCATAACTCCTCCCTTGTGGGGCTAATATTTTACAGTCAGTAAAATTTATTCTACTAACTTGAAGGACAGTTGTTGGTAAGATGATTATGGTATCAGGGAAAATGCGTGAAGGATGAAAATGGTAAATAACATGAATGAAACAAAATAAACCAAAGTTGTGACTGATGGATCTAAACTCTAATGAAATAAAATTTAATCAACTTAGATTTCATTCTAATTCTGTTAAAAAAGAAAATGGACTGCCAAATTTCATAAAGATTGTCTTGTTTCATATTACAGTCTTAAGACTATCAGAATTTATTTTCCTACATTGTATGTATATTTCTACTTTTCAGCCATGTATCATAGAATACAGTTCATTTGATAGCTGTATGCCTTCTACCCTTCTCCTTTACTTTATATATGGCATGCTATCAAAACATATATGACATAATACCATTCTTTTACTTTAATTTTAAAGTGAAAGCTTTCTTTTTAAAAGAAATATTACATTTATCTTATTTGATGGCTTTATAATTAATTTGCATTTTGAAATGTTAAGAATTATAAAATTCTTTAGAACATAAGAAATGACTGGTATATAAATTAGCTCTTTAAGTTGTGCTAGCGTTTAATCTTGTGGCCAAAAAGGTGTTACTATGTAAAGAATCTTATTATTCTTGGAAAATTAAAAGTTTAGTTAGGGACTGGAGAGATGGCTCAGCGGTTAAGAGCACTAACTGCTCTTGCAGAGGAACAGAGTTGGATTCCCAACGCCCACATGGTGGTTAACAACCATCCATAATTCCAGTTCCGGGAGAATCCAACGCCTTCTTCTGACCTCCGCGGGCATTGCACGACACGGATGCACTTACACACATGTAGGCAATACACTCATACACATAAAATTTTTAAAAAGTTATAGACATGTAATTCTAGACTAGACTAAAAGATTAAGCAGCACAGAAAGAGTATGCATGGAGCTGGAGCAATAACTCAGTAGTTAAAGCACTGGCTGCTCTGGCAAGGGACCCAGGTTTGGTTCCCAGCACCCACATGGTGGCTAACAACCATCTGTACCTCCAATTCCAGTGGATCCAACACCCTCTTATGTCCTGTGTGGGCATTGCATGCTTGTAGTGTACTTACATGCAGGTAAAACAGGGAGACCCTGTC